TTATCATGTTTTTTCTAACATGTTGTTCTAGTAGATACAAACATTTTCTCAATACAATGAGGCAGTTTAAGACGGTACCACAATCCAAAATTTAACACTTACCATTTAGAGCAGAAAGAAAAATGGACACGTAATGCAAAATAAAGGAATTTTTCCATGAGGTCACCAGTTTTTCATCACTATTTATTCGCAACAAGACACCTTCTTCCCCATTAGTCCACCAGCCAGCAGCAGCTCCAAAACCCTAGATCCTTTCCAATCTCTTCTTTTTTGTTCTCCAGTTGTTGGGAAGGAAGGGAGAGCCTGGCTAGCTTGACTTCTATTTTTCATTTCTTGCTTTTCAAGGTTTCCTTCCCCCATATCATTCATCACTCTGTAAAAAAGGGGGAAAAATAGAATAGAAAAAGGAAGGAAAAACAACCCAAACTGTACCCATTACCCAACACTCACTCACTTCACAACCCCAAACGCACGTAAAGTTAGAGACTTTCCTTTGATTCTTCCAAAACCCAGTTGCCAGATCTATATGATTTCTTAAACCCACATTCTCTCTCGGGTTTTCCTTAAGCTCATTCATTCATCAGTTTACGCGGACAAGAACAGATATTAACCGATTTTTCTCTGTTTGCTGGATTCTCTTTAATGCTGTGCTACGATTCTACCCATTGGCTAGTTAATGAATGATATGAAGTAAATTTCGTATCTTGGCTCTTGAATTTGCTTGTTTTGCGTTATTTTGAGCTGATTCCCAGCTTGATTTTGTGCGATCCGCTTTGAAATAGGTGAGGGAGTTTGCTGGAGGTTTTAAAGGAGATTCTGGGAAAATTCTCTGGAGCTACAGCAATCTAATATAGATCTGAGGCTTTTCTAGCTGGCCATGTTTTCTGCCTGATAGTCGTACAGATTGTGGGTTAGTTGTCGGGTTTTTCTTTGAGGAAATGGCTGTTCCATCAGGTAATGTGGCGATGTCCGATAAAATACAGTATGGTGGTGGCGGTGGTGGTGGCGGCAGTGTGGGCGGTGGCGGCGGAGCTAATGAGATCCACCCTCGACAGCAGTGGTTCCCTGTGGACGAGCGTGATGGGTTCATCTCTTGGTTGAGAGGGGAATTCGCTGCTGCAAATGCGATGATTGATGCTCTCTGCCACCATCTAAAGGCGGTCGGTGAGCCGGGGGACTATGATTTAGCTATAGGTTGTATTCAGCAAAGGAGGTACAACTGGAACCCGGTGCTTCATATGCAGCAGTATTTCTCTGTTGGTGAGGTGGTATTCGCATTGCAGCAGGTAGCGTCAAGGCGGCAGCAACTGCGGCAGCAGCAGCAACAACCGCAACATCACCAGTACAATAGATACTATTCTGATCAGCCCAGGGCTGGTGCCAAAGAATTCAAGAGGTCTTTTGGTGGTGCAGGGTTTAACAAAGGCCATAGAGGGAGTGAAGCACCAAAAGAGTATGTTCGTACTAGTTTAGAGAGTAACAATTTAGATGGCAATGGTTCAGGAAATGGAAGTAGTGAGACAAAGGAGGATCTTAAATCTGGCGCAAGTAATGGTGAAATGGACGAGAAGGTTTCAGCAGTTGCCCAGGATAAGAACGGTAATCACTGTAGTTTATGGTTGCTACTGATTTCTGTTTAGTGTTTATGGCATGGTGTATGCTTCCGTTAACCCTGGCTTATGGTAGGATTGTTCTGCATACCCACATTTGGCCATTTTGAGACTTAAGTGACTGTATTGAATGTGTTTGGAACCACCTGTCTTGTATTGAATGATTTCAAGAAGTATGGAGCTTTCCTAAATGGGCAAGATATCTATATATGTGCTGGTATAGAGGGTCTTATTTGGAGGCAAAGATAGATTATGGAAGGGGCTTTTTGTGTAAATTTGGACCTTTGTTTGTTACTGACTGATAAGGAAGGCGTCCAACTCCCTTAGATTGCAATTCTGTTGTACATCGATGTGATTTTTCTTCAGAATTTAGGTAAAACTCCATGGTATTTGTGGTTTCTGCTGCAACTGTTTTGCACTTTACTGCAATGGACACCTGTTGTGACAATTTGTTGTGCTATATGACCAAGAGACTCTTATAAATGTATATATTGCATATTGCTACTCTGAATTTGACTGTTATACTGAACTCTGGAATAGTACTTGGCACCCTCTTTCCATGATGAGGTGATCAACATTATTGGTTCAATTGCCAAAGTAGGTTCCCTCTGGCATGCTTGACCCAAAAGAAACAAAAACGTCAATGAAAATTCGAGAGTGTCAGGAGTAGCCCCCCACCTTGATTTTTTTTTTTCTTCTTTTTCCTGAAATTGGGAAAAGAAAGATCCATTAGTCTTTAATTCTAAGCCTTTAGGTACTCACAATTGTGTCCTACTTATTAAGCTACTAGGAACCCTCATAGGAAAGACAGTACAACTGTTGAGAAAATAGCAGCTGGTAATCTATTGATTTGCTAATTTCCTGGTGGGACATTCTGGGCTAGGCATGGTGAACTTTATATCTAAAATGCGATTGAGTTGCATCCGCAAAATCCTAGTGCTGGTGCATAAAATCATGGATTGTCAACATACCTTGAAATTTTTGGAGGAAGTACTGATACCTGTACTTACTGGTTATTGAAGCAGATGCTACCACATTGCCACACAAGGATAGCTACTTAAAGAGTGGTCGAACCTCAGAAGAAACAGTGTCTGGGAATTCGGAACCTGAGTCTGTGGCTGCTGATGATCAACTTATTCCCAAAGGTGTTCCTTCATTATCTCTTTGGCTGGCAAGCTGTGCCCATTTCTCTCATTTCAGCCTTTGTATTTCTTTTCCCATTGCGGCGGGGTAGGGATGTCAATGACATGATTACTCCTCAAGCCGTATAAATTGACATCTGTAGAGAACGAAGGAAACTAAACTTTTCCGAGTTAAGTCCAATTAGCATTTGTGCTTGTCAGGCATCCAGGGTTCATTATCACTCTGTTCCACTTGTATTCTCTCTAAGAAGTTCCTTTTGGGGGGTATCACACTGTCAATCTGTCATTATTGTTACTATGCCTGTTATTGTATTGTTGTTCGAGTGTTTTCTAGTTTGGAACTTTTCTTGTGGTAATGCAAAATCTTATCTGCAGAGAACAGCTCGGTTACCAGTCAGAATCAGAATGAGATGCCAAATCCCAGTGGCAGTCCAAAGACTTTCATTGGAACAGAGATAATTGATGGAAAGACGGTAACTTTTGTGACTGAATGACTTTAGTATTTCTGTTCTTTTTCAGAAGGACTGATTCTGGATAATAGATTCTCTTTTTCTTAGGGGTTCTCTTCTTCTTTCTCTTCTCTTAAGATGTGCTGATTTCTGCTGTAGGTTAATGTTGTCGATGGATTAAAGATGTATGAGCGGTTGCTTGATGACTCCGAAATTCCGAAACTGGTTTCGTTGGTTAATGATCTGAAGGCTGCAGGCAGAGCAGGGAAATTTCAAGGTAAGTTCATTAACAGATTTCCTTTCAAGTTGTTCACTCTGAATCATTTATTCCCGGCCCCGGCCCCTAGGTGGAAAGTTTTGTTATTTTTATCAGTATCCATGAATATGTCATGGAACAGCTATTGGCAAGTTGGTTATAGATAACATTATCAATTATTCATGATACGTTCATTGTGTTTCCAACTTTGGAGCCCATTTAGCGTCAAAGATACTGGAAGTTAAGTTTGGCCGTTTTGTGTTTTTTTTCTCATACCTTTCAGTGCATGGTTTGGATGCTTGGTTTCATTTTTCGGTTAAATATGAGTCATTGTTGTTTCTCTCCATATCTATGTATCAAATGCATCATCGAATGGGAGTTCATCAAAGGAATAGTTGGATGAGGCTAGTAATGTCTTAGGGTTATACGTGCTTTCTGTGAAGCAGGTCAAACATATGTTGCCTCAAGGCGACCTATGAGAGGACATGGAAGAGAGATGATTCAACTGGGTCTTCCTATAGCTGATGGACCTGCAGAAGAAGAAACCCCCAAAGGCAAGTTACAGTTTCTCTTGCAATTTTGTTAAGCCTTGATTGTGGATATAATGTCTAACTAGTATTTTCATGCTGAGTGAATGATGCAGACCAGAAAACTGAACCAATCCCTCCCCTGTTGCAAGATGTCATTGACCGTATGGTTTGCACACAAATCATGACCACAAAGCCAGATTCTTGCATGATCAATATTTTCAACGAGGTTGCTTAACGCTACCAAGTTATATATGCGTCCTGTAGCTGGAAGTTGGTTTTTCGTGTCCTGTATGTTAATCCTTAATTGAAAATTTTCCTGTAGGGTGACCACTCACAGCCTTACATATGCCCTTCATGGTATGGAAGACCTGTGGCCATTCTTTGCTTGACTGGGTGTGAGATGGTGTTTGGCAGAGTGATTAATTCAGATCATGCTGGAGACTACAGAGGCTCTCTCAAGCTAGCTGCTGAGCCTGGGTGGGTATAACCTTGTTTTAGTATTTCAAAGACACCTGCATTTGTCTCGTTTTGAATCATTCACTAATATATGTTGCTTGGATCACAGATCGCTTCTGGTGTTGCAAGGAAAATCCTCTGATTATGCAAGGCATGCACTTCCTGCACTTCGAAAGCAGCGAATTCTCGTCACCTTCACCAAGTCCTTGCCCAGGAAATTCTCTCCTGGTGATGGTTCGTCACAGCGTTATGCACCATTATCCAACACAGCAGCCCATTCATCCTCTCACTGGGGTCCACCGCCAAGTAGATCGCCAACTCATCATGTTCGTTATGCTGGGCCAAAGCACTATGTTCCAACAACTGGTGTACTGCCTGCACCACCGATTCGAGCTCATCACCCGAATGGTGTTCAGCCACTCTTTGTGACTTCTCCAGTTGCAGCACAGGTGCCTTTCTCTTCCCCAGTTCCCATCCCTCCTCCTGTTTCAGCCACCTGGGCAGCAGCAGCTGGTCAAAGGCACCCCCCACCGCGCCTGCCAACTGTCCTCGTGCCCGTCCCTGGGACTGGCGTTTTCCTGCCTCCCGCAACAAATGACACTGCTGCTACAGACTCGGTTCCTTCCCCACCTGAGAAAGAAAGCGGGCAGGGGAAGCCTAGTCAGGGAGCGAAGGCCACGTTGAAACAGGAATGCAATGGAGAAAAGGCAGCCAAGGCAGAAGAGCAGGTTGCAGAAACTAATGGAGTGTAGCGAGAGAGAGAGAGAGAGAGAGAGAGATATTTTGGCAAGTGAGAGAAGAGAGTAGGAGAACGGTGGTAAGCAATGAGTTTGGAACCAAAAAATGTAAAGAGCGGCGGCGAAACATTGGAGACTATTTGACATGGATCATCTCATAGTTACAACTGAGTGGGGGAGACTGAAAGGAGATGGTGGGAAGAAGAAGAAGAGCTTGGAGGTAGGAGATGATGGTAAGAGAAGCTTTTGGCTGTGGTTCTCTTTTACCATTTGTCTCTACTTCCCTTTTTTTCTATGTTTCCTGTCTACTCTGATACTATTTTTGGTGTCTCATTATATAATATAGAAGTACCACTCACTAGGATCAATTCGGTTTTGGATGAGAAAACCTCAACCTCCTTCTCCTTCCATTTAATATTTAACATCATTATATCATCACCTAGCCTACTTTTGATGATCTTAACAATGAGAATCTCTCATTATTGTGCTTCCATGTTGTGTCACCTAGTCTTCATTTGCTCATTGTGGTTATGCTGAAAAGAGGGATTGCTTGTTCTCAAACGATTGTACGCTTTGTTGGGTACACGAATCGATTGCACATATAGTTAATGTTATTGTGCTTTCATAGTGTGTCACCTAGTCTTCATTCGGTCATTGTGGTTATGGTGAAAAGAGGGATTGCTTGTTATCGAATGATTGCATGCTTTGTTGGGGACACGATTGATTGCACCTTTTGTTAATGTTTATATTGTGTCTTGATAGTGTTCACCAAGTCTTCAATCGGTCACTATGGTTATGGCGATTGGTGAAAGGAGGGATTGTTTGTTCTCGCAATGGTTGCATGCTTCGTTGGGGATACGGTCGATTGCTCATTTAGTTGATGTTCCGTCAATAAGGTAGGACATAATATCATTGTCTCTAGAGAAAGCTAATCACACCTTCACTCACAAGGTTAATGATTCAATTCCTCAGTAATTCATATTTATAAAAATTAAATGTCATGATAACTAAATTTACTGTCGGAAAAACTTTGTTTAAATACAAAAGATAGCAAACTTCACTCAACATTAGGGATGACAATTTTGCCCATACCCATGGGTATTTTACTATCCAACCCAATTGGGTTGGGTATGAAATCCAAATATATGAATATGGGTAAAGTTTGATGGGTTTGTACCCATACCCATTTACTTTGGGTTGGGTTGGGTTTATAACAAATGGAATTGGCTTTGTACCCATGCCCAAATAAAAATTACAGTTTGGTACCTAAACTTAATAGATATGCATATTTAGTACCTAAATTTAATTTTTTTGCATATAAGTCCTCAAAATATCGATGGAAAATTACGTTTTGGTACCTAAATTTTTTTGGTCTTACATTTTGGTACCTAAAATTTTCAAGTTTTACAAATAAGTCCAATTTTTGCATGTGTAGTTAAAACACCCTCAAGTAAATGGATATCCATATCCAACCCATACCCATTTAGATAATATCCATATCTAACCCAAACCCATATACAAACCCCAAACCCATACACACATCACCCAAACCCTACCCATAATAAATGGGTCTACTTGGGTTTGGGCAAAATTACCCATGGGTGGGTAAATTGCCATCCCTACTCAACATCCAAGCTTAGTAAGGTCTCATCCAAATTTATTACAAGCTATTATTGATTATGATAGAAAACACATTGAATTGGAGATGAGTAAATAGCTTGTCAATCTCCAAACATTTACGTAAATACAAACTGCGGATTTGTTAATCATCAAGAACATACATATGAAATATTGGGCCACACTAGTATACGAGATTTGGACGGTTTTTAACGTAGATTATGTATAATCTGTCTAACAGTCTAAGTCACATATAGCTTGTTTGTCAAAAGTTAATAGTACATGGATTAAAATGCTAGAATCCCTTTTTTAAGGATCAAAATGCAATAGAGAACTCCCGAACCCCAGGCCGCCGGCGTCGGCCCTGCCTCCGGAACCGCGGTTGGGATTTCGGTCACTTAGCCTTTATACACCATGGAAAATGGGAAAAGCGTAAATTGAAGAAGAAAGAGGATGGGAGACGATACAATCGGCGAGAATCCGAATCAGGCGCGCCTCATCATCCCCGATTTCCTCTCCCTTCAAGAGTGCAAGGTTTCTGCCTCTTCCTCCTTCTTCGATCAAATCTCCTTTTTTTCCCATTTTATTGCCGTCAACTTGAAAGAACTTGGGAATTTTGGTAGGAATTGGAATTCATTCATCGGAGCTGCTCCACCGTCGGTTACCGTCCCAACGTCTTCTCCACCACTCTGTCTCACCTCATCGCCACCAATTCTCCGCACCTCATCATCCCTTTCCTCTCCATCCGTGACCGCCTGAAAGAAAAGGTGGAGGAGTTCTTCGGCTGCGAGTACGAGCTCTCCGTCGAGTTCACCGGTTTAATTAGGTTAACCCCTCATTTCTCTCCTTCTCTCGCATATATGCTTTGCTCTTAGTTTGTAGTAATCACCACTCCGCTGCTTACTACAATTGCAGCTGGACGCGTGGTGCAAGCATCGGCTGGCACACTGATGACAACAGGCCTTACCTCAAACAGCGTCACTTCACTGTATCTATGCGTCTTCTCCTTCTCTGTTTCTCCATTTGTTCGATCTTGTGGTCACTGTTAGCTGTTTTTCTGATATGCTTTCTGTTGTTGTCAAAGGCAGTCTGCTATCTGAACACTTATGGCCAGGATTTCAAAGGTGGCCTTTTCCACTTCCGGGATGGTCACCCGAATACTGTCGTCCCAACTGCCGGGGTAACCATTTCGACTTCGCTTTCAGTTACAAGTGCAGTAATAGAATGGTGGTGATGTGAAGTGAATTGTAGTCTGATTGCTTGTGAATTGTGATTGCATCCTTTACAGGCTGTTTCGATTTATACAGCTGATGACCGCAATGTTCATTCGGTGGATGAGGTATTCTTGACATATAGTTGAAGCAGTCCCAGTTGCCTGTTGTAGTATATTGTTTCTGAAATGTTTCTGTACTCTAATTTTGACTTGGAGATCCATTGATTGACAGATACTTGAAGGAGAAAGATTGACCCTCGCAATGTGGTTTAGCCGCGACAGTGCACATGATGAAGATACTAAACTTATATCCCTTCTGTCTTCAAACATGCCTTGCTCTTCAAGCAAAGTTTCCGAAGAGTTGCTGCTGCCAAACCCAGCTTCCAGCAATATGTACTGGTTTTGTCCGGATCAAGAGCAGAATGAGGAATCAGGGTTTGATATATGTTGTGCAAGGATTTATGTTGCTGGCTTTGATGTCTATTCTACCGAAGAAGAGTTATCTTGTTCTGATTTCTCTGAACTGCTGCAGCAGCCCCTGCAACTAGCAAGGAGTAATGTGCTGTTTGAGCAAGAGTTCACCAATGTGTTGCATGCACTGCAGGTAAATTTAGCAGATTGAAATACTTGTGCTTAAAATTACTGTGCCATGTGTTCAGTATTGAACTGCCCCGGCTAAAGATTCTATAAACCCATTTGCTTAAAGTCTGTGTCTTGTTCTTGGAGTTTAGGGTAAAGTGATCCCAGTTTGACCTTTTTGAACAGGCGGTACAATTTTATCTGTGGAAGGGGACAACACCAGAAGATTCTGAGGGAGTTAGAAGGAGGAAAATAAGTTTACTGTCTGAGTTGGAGCAGGGGAAGGTTGCTTCTATGAAATCCATGTTTGTGAAGGATAATGAACTGGCGAATAAGATGTTTCGTGACGATAAATGCTGTCTGCATGAATTCGACTGGGCTGAGTTCGCTGTTTCTGTCGATGAACTGGAACGCTATTCTCGTAGACTACAGAAAGAGTTGGTAATGAGCTTACCTCATTGGAAAACCCAGCAAATCATATATAAAGCTACCTTGTAATGGTCTCGAGTTCTATGCCACTGCAGAATCTGGTACTTCTTTTCCATCTCCATCTGGCATGAGTATCAGCCTGGTATGTCGTTCAAGTATTTATGTTATGTGTTAAGATTAGCCAATCATTCGTTAAGATTTGAATAAGTTACCCTTACCAATTGATAACTACAAGACCATGGGATTAACCAGAGTACCATAAATGCCATTGCTGATTACAGTGACAAAGGTACAATAGAAGGCGAGGATCACGTAGTGAGAGATACTCGAATGAATATAAAATCTCTGAAGTAGTAACAGTACTAGTGTGGTTTTGATGCTACTATATTTGGGAGACCGACAAGTCCGACGTGCTCCATTGATGCAGGACTTCACCTTCGATGCCATAATAAACAACACGAACTTCATCCGACGAGATCCGAAGCGTCATGAACCCCTGGCCATCGTAGTAGAACTTCATCTCCTTGGGATCCCACGAGCTGATATCACCCTTCCACGCTTTCGACCCTGCCCCACTGGTGAGAAACTGAAGCTTGGTCCAGCTGCTGCTGATATGCTCCAGGCAGTGGTCGTGCCCATTCACGTACAGATCCACATCGTGTGCCTCCAAGATGGGAAGCAGTTGAGCCTCCAGCTCCACGGTGTTGCCATGGTAGCCTGCACTCTTGATCGTGTGATGCCCCACCACGATCTTCCACCTCGCCTTCGACACCCTGAGAGCCGAGTCCAGGTCAGCCATGAGGTTGGACATGTAGGTAGCTCGGTCTGGAATGAGGCCGCTCCAGTCGTAGACGTGGTCCTCCGGGTCGGTGAAGTACTTGTCGGAGAAGGGCGTGGTGTCGACGAAGAAGAACTCGGCCAGGTTGGTGTTGAGAATGAATGATCTCATGCAGAGCCATCTGGGGTCCTTCTCTTGTAGGGCTGTGCTCAGCTGTGCTTCTACGTTGCCTCTGTAGTCGTGGTTCCCCAACACTGGAAGCATTGCATGGAGTTACTAGGTTAAAAAAATGATTTTACCTGGTCGAACTTTTTTACTGCTATTATGGGGGATGAAAACAAACCGGGGAGGAGGGGTAAATTAACTACCGTTGTACCACTGCTTCTGCAGGCTGGGTGCTGTGTAGATGTCGGCAAATGAATGGTAAAAATTGGGGTCGTCGACTCCTGTTAATCCGTCGTCGTAGAAGTTATCTCCCGTTGATATCACGAAGTCGATTTTTGCTGCCTCTGCAATTGCCCCCATCTGTGAAAAGGTAACAAATTTGTGGCGCAGTAATTAGCGATTGAGAAGTTTACCACTGCGGTGAATTAGCTTGCCCAAGGCATGACGGTCTAGATAGTTAAAGTTTCCAGCAATTCTTAATTACTGGTGGTCGCTTTCAAGCAACAAGTACAACCATACAAATGCAATCAAGTACGTAACAGTTAACACAATTTCTTTGATCAAATTGGTAATGATTTGATTATGTAAAATATTAGGACTAACTACTTTGTCACGTATGATCTCCCATACGACATCATAGTCCTGAATTATTTTTAGGCGGATGCGTGCATGTGCGAGAACAGTTGTGGGTATGGGTAACCAGTTATGAGTTAGCTATACAATAACAGCAGATGATAGGAAAAGGAAAGAAAGCTGTGACACTTTTGACATGATTAATTTTGTTTGTTTGTTTGTTGGTGGGGACTGTAGAGACTAGAGAGGGTGACCCTGACCCACCCTAATCGTTTACAGGCATGAGGCATCTGCTCCTTTCTGCTACTATTAATATTAGCAGTACTTCGTCATTGGAATATCTCTCGGTAATAGAAAGCTCTGATACAATGTTAAAATGCGTAATTTTCTTGATTAACAGGACTGGTTCACGAGAAAGCCTAAACTTTCCAAGTCAATCTTATTAGCTAATTAATTAGGTTAGACGGTTACTATAGAGAGGTTCCCAACCCTAATGACTAAGTAAGGCATAATTACATAATGATACCTAAAAAGTAAAAAACCTAAAGTTTCAACCGCCTCTGTGAACTGGTGATGACTAATGGGTCCGTGCCTAGTTATTCTGCTAACTGCATAAGTTGTTAGTATATACTAACTAATATCCAAAATGTATGAACATGTATCCAAGTTTTCTGATTTTACTAAAGTATCTAGATAACACAGACTAGTATTCAAAACATCACAAACTAGTATCCAGATAGCAGATACCAACTAATATCCACAATCAACCAACTAGTATTCAATATGGATACTCTTATGTGTTATCTGGATACTTTTATGTGTTATGTGGATACTAATTATGTGTTGTATGGATACTATTCTGTGTTGTCTAGATATTAGTTTGTGAATTTGAGATAATAGTTGATTCGTGGTGGATATCAGTTAACAAACCTTGAATACTAGTCTGTGATCTCTAGATATTTTAGTACTTGGATACTAGTTTATTTATTTTGGATATCAGTTAGTATCTGCTAACGAATCTTCAAGTTAGCAGATTAACTTTTCCTCGTGGGCCTTGGTGTTGTTGGGGGAGCATATCGAATCTTGAAGGACGTATCTTCAAAGTATTATCCTCTTCCAATATTCCATAGAAAAATAAACAGGCTGATGACTTTCCTTCCCTACACAATCATTAAAGCTAGCCCGCCCATTTTATGATTATGATGATTACCCAATTTTCATAAGTACTGCTACTTTCTCTCGTGTCAATGTAATTAGGTAGATTACACAACCTCTGTCTCCAACGGTAAATTACATGAAACCGAACAGATGGAGGACCATTCATCACGCTAACCTAGAGCTCCTTCTCGTCTCTTGTCTTGTTTTCAACTAAATAAAAAATCAAACAATGATGTCGGAGACGTGTTTGTCCCGAACCAAGGAAAGCGCCCAATGGGCATATTGGAATCTACGTCGAATTATGCTCTCCAAATGCATCAATATACAGAACAAACCCAACAGGAGAAAGCAAAATGACAAAAACCCCCCAGCAACGTGTCAGAACAAGAGTGGTTGATTATGTTTGGTCTGATGTCTTGCCCAATAATTTTTAGCTTCCCACCATCATTGAGCCACTTGCATTGGTTTTTATACACTGTTTAGCTTAATTAAGGACACGGCAAATGAAAGAAAGTTTGAGGGCACAAGACATTATGAAAGTGGGTTAACAGTACTCGCTTTCTTTTTTTCTACTACTTTTGCAGATTGAGGTTTGGACATGATGAAAAGCTAGCTAGAGAGAAGAAGGAAATAGAGAATATTATTGCGTACCTGAGTGGCAACTCGAGTTTGGTTGTAGGCTCCTTTCCTTCCCCAGTCGCCGACCACCAACACGGCCAGGGATCCGCCGGCGGCGCCGTCCTTCACGGTGTCGTGCTCCAGACGCGGCAGCTCGGCCGTCGCGGCCACGAACCATACGACGGACAGCAAAACGGCCACCGAAGCTACTCGTTGTTGTGGATGGCGGGACATGGTGACCAGCCAGAAGGAGAGAAAGTTAAAGGGAGAAAAGAGATAAAAGTGGCCGGGGACGAAGGAAGGAAACGAAATCCACTGATTTAGGTGACAAACGGCGCCTAATCTCACTTCTATTTATATTTACACAAAGCACTAAGGGGTAGGGAGGAAAGTGACACTTTTGAATCCACGTCGGATCGATTAAAGAAACCGAGTCCGGTGATTTCTTCTCGTAAATTAAAGTAAAATGGGTTCGCGGTAAGGCCAACGAAGAACTAATGGTGGAACTATATATATTATATTATATAGAGATAAAAAAAGAATCTAGCCATGGACCGGCTTTCTTATTTTGTTTTATAAAAGGACGGTGGGTAGTAAGAAACGAGTTTTTGTTGGGTTTTACAAGATTAAACGTTGATATCGATTTGTTTTTTAAAACGGTTGGCGTTGGAGTTTCTGCATCCAATTTATAAAGTTGGAGCTAAGAAGTTTTCGAAGATCAGATTAGAAGGAGAAGAGTAATTAATACCTGTAGAGCTATTGAGGCGAAGGTGAAGGCTATTCCTTTAATTGGAATCGTCTATTCTGTGAAATATGTATGTGTGCTGATAGCTCAAACGTTTCTTTATCTCCTATTTTAGAAGATGAAAATGCCCATTGGTTGATTCTGGCTTGAATGAAATTTCTACCCCTTTTATTATGAAAATAATTGTTGGTGGTAAGGTTTGAATTTTAGATGTGGAGGATTTTTTATAATTATTATCGCTATGTTAACCTCTTGAAATTCTAACTATGTTGCTTATTAAGATTCAAATAATCTTATCTTATTGGTGAGAATCGATGTTTTTCTTTCTAAATATGTTACCAATTTAGGTATATTGTACAATGTCAAATTTTCTTAGAGTTATTTTCGAATTTTTCTATACTTGCATCTAACAATATTATTTAACTGGGTCGTTTGAATGTGAGATTTAAACAAAATAAACAGTATGTGTGAGATAAAATTTGGAATACCCCAAATTATTGAGGCTCTTCAACAACAATATCCTTATATATTTATATAAAAAACCCAATACATTATCAAATCCAACAAATTATCAAATCTCCAACTCCAAGGTAAAAATGAAAAAAAATCCTTTCAATTTTCAAATCCAATAATCAATCAAACAACCTATAAATTCATAAGTGGTCAAGAAATATAAACACAACAGAAATGTGAATTTTTTTTTGACTGAAACCTGTATGTTTATTCATGATTCATCACATCCTTATCCAAATAGGAGAGGATGGCAATGGGAGGCCTATCGATCCATGAAACAGTTTGATCCCAATTACAATTAAGATGGGCCATTGTATGGGCCGGTTCATTACCAGCCCGTTTGACAAAACTCCACCTGACCGAGCCCATTTCCTGCGCCTTCTCCTTCACTTCTCGAACCAGCACTTCCCTTTCCAATCGCGTCATTTCCTCCGCCTGAATCTGTTGAATCGCGGCGAGACAGTCACTCTCAATCACCGTTGGCCGAAGTTGTTGCTCCTCCGCCATCTGCATGCCGAAGGTAATGGCTCAGAGCTCCGCTGATTCAGAGTCCCAGCAAATTCTCTCTCGTCTCACAGCTGCAAAAAGGAACTCCCCGTCCGCATTCCTTGCCACCGCTCAGAGTCCAATTCCTCCTTCCTCGAGCACCGCCGCGTCGACATTCATCTTCACCCAGCCTGCAGGAGGTTTTTCCCAGGTGAGATTCCGCCGTGACCCTTCCTCTTTCTCTGAATCGTGTTGAGCTCTGTATTCCTCCTAGTAATTTAGGGCTCGACCAATCACTTCCCACTCTTCCGCTTTCTTCCTGTTGAACATCTGGTTGTTTCATTCGCTCCACATCAACCATAAAATGATCCCTAATTTATCTAGTACTTCATCCTCCACTTGATCCATAATTGCACATAACCAACTGCTAGATGATAGGGTTGGTTCTAATTCAAATAGGGGTCTGAACGATGACGAGCTCCAAATGCGAATTGCCCACTGGCATTCTCTAAAAATGTGGTTCTGCGTCTCCTCCAAATGACAAAAGGGACATTCCACCGCCACCTCTTTCTTTCTTGATTCTATGTTTTTGTTTGTTGGTAGGATTTCATGCGCTAATCTCCAGAGAAATATCTTTACTTTTGGCGGAATCGTCAGCTTCCATAGTCTAGCCCAGTTCATAGGATCATAGACTTCACCATTCTGGTCTCCAGCCTCTTCTTCCCCCTCCTCTGTTGTGCCTTGTTGAGGAGATATTAAGCCCCTCTTGTTGACCAGCAGTCTGTAGGCCGATTTAACAGTGTAGCATCCTTTTCGCTCCATGCTCCATACTAGGATATCTTTAGCTGGCTGCCTAGGAATAGGTATTGCCCGAATTTTCCTTCTGTCCTCCATGTTAAAAGAATTCAGAAGCATATTGTCCCTCCACTCTCTTCTCTCATGATCAATGAGATCAATCACCCTTGACAGACCGCCTGAGCTTGGTTTTGGTGTAGTGACTCGATAGTTAGCTTCCTCTGCACCTGCCACCCAACAATCATTCCATATCTCTATTTCTGAGCCATTACCCACTCGCCATCTGATCCCTTCCTTCACTGTCTTTTGAGCAGCTAGGATACTTCTCCAAGTATAACTCGGATTTTGTCCCAATTGAGCTTGTAAAATATCAGTGTTGGGGTAGTATTTGGCTTTCAACATTCTAGCTACTAGGGATTCTGGATTGTTAATGAGATTCCAGACCTGTTTCCCTAATAGTGCAATATTGAAAGAGTGCAAATCCTTAAACCCCATCCCTCCTTCCACTTTTGGTTTGCAAAGTTTATGCCAGGCTCGCCATGGAATTCTCCTCTCTTCCTTCTGTTGTCCCCACCAGAAACTTGCAATAGCTTTCCTTATTTATGTAATCACCCCTTCTGGTATCAGGAAAACAGACATTGAATATGTAGCTTGAGCTTGTGCTACTGATTTAATAAGCACTTCCTTGGCTGCAATAGATAAAGTTTGCCCTTTCCAATGCTTTATCTTCTTTCTCACCCTATCCACCAATACCTGAAAGGCAGCTTTTTTTCTCCCTTCCCATGACAGTTGGTAACCCTAGATATTTTTGGTGGAACTCCACCTGTTTCATTCCAAGGATATTAGCCAATTCCTCTCTTTTCATCTGGTCCACGCTGGGGCTAAAGCTTAACTCAGATTTCTGTAAATTCACCATCTGTCCTGACTCCTCCTCATAGAGCTTTAGGATATCCCTTAGTTGACAGCTTTCCTGTGGGGTAGCTCTAGTGAAAAGGACACTATCATCTGCAAACAGTAGATGTGAGATGATTGGCCCTCTGATTGAAGTTTTCAATCCATGAATCCTCCCTGAATCAACAACATTTTTTAACAAAGTTGCTAACCCCTCCACACAGAACAAAAACAAATATGGTGAGAGGGGGTCCCCCTGCCTGAGACCCCTCTCTGGTTGAAACTCTTCTGACCTGTGTCCATTCACTAGGATCGAATAGGTGACTGTTGTGATGCATTTCATGATCATTCTTACCCATCTTTCAGCAAAACCAAGCTTTAGCATCATAGCTTCTAGGAAATCCCATTCAACTCTATCGTATGCTTTGGAGATGTCCAATTTTGCTGCCATAAATCCTGTTTTTGCTCGACTCTTCTGTTTCATGGTGTGAAAACACTCAAAAGCTATGAGGATGTTGTCAGTTATGAACCTTCCAGGGATGAAAGCACTTTGCTGCTCTCCTATAACCATGTTCAGCACCTGTTTAAGTCTGTTTGCAAGTACTTTTGACATGATTTTGTAAACTACATTGCACAGACTTATAGGGCGAAAATCAGTAGGGGTGCTAGGTTTGTTCTTCTTTGGTATCAGTGCAATCAACGTCTTGTTTAGCACCATTGGGAACTCTCCCACCTCTAGATAGCCTCTTAGCTCACTTAGAACTGTTTGACCCACAATATGCCAGTGTTTCTGAAAGAAACGAGCTGACATACCATCTGGACCAGGGGCTTTGTTAGGTCCCATGCTTTTCAATGCTAACCAGATCTCCTCCTCAGTGAAGGGTGCAAGGAGAGTCTGGTTCATTTCATGTGTCACTCTGGGGGTAACTAGAGGGAGAATTCTGCTCTCTTCTACTCGATGCCCTCTAGCAAATAGATCTTTCATGGATTCCACTAGACAATTCGTCACTTCTTGCTGCCCAGTATAGACCCTCCCAACTGCATCATTCAGTTTTCTGATTGTATTCTTCCTTCTTCTTTCTGTTGCTTTCCTATGAAAATATCCAGTGTTCTGATCCCCTTCTTTTAGCCAGTCTGCTCTTGAACGTTGTTTCCATTTCACTTCTTCTTGGAGGATAATGTCATTGAGTTCTTGTTCTAAAACTTTCCTCTGTAGCAACATTGCTTTTGTTCTTTTCCTTTTTTCCACTGCTTGTAGGTCCTTTTCTACTCTTTTCCGTCTCTGTTTCAGTGAGCCAAAGGCTTCTATGCTCCAAGAAAGGAGTTTTTCCTCGCATTGTTTTATTCTGTCCATAGAACCACCTCCTCCTGTCTGATTCCAAGCCTCCTCAATCACTTTTTGGCAATCTTCGTGCCTTTCCCAGTACGGTTCATAGCGGAAAGACCATCCCCAGGTGATTTCCTCTTCATTCAAGTCAAGCTTGACTTGAATTGGTATATGATCTGACCCGCAACGCTCTAAGTGATACACTCTCCAGTTTGGATAAATTTCTTTCCATTCTTTATTTCCCAGAGCTCTGTCCAGCCTCTCCTCAGTGTATTCGTTGTCAGCTCTGCTATTCCACAGTCTTCTAGATTTCAATTCTCAATTGTTTCCCTAAACATCTCCATCTCCCGAGCTTCTGGTTCTTTTTGCCCACTTTTTTCAAGATAATCCGTGATTAGGTTGAAATCCCCAATCACTAACCAGGGTAAGTCTACCTGTTGACTCAGCCTTTCCAACATTTCACAAGTCAGCTTCTTGTTTTTTGCTTCTGGCCACCCATAGACTCCTGTCAGTCTCCAATCACGCCTACAGTTTGGCATTCTAACCTGCATATCAACAAAATGTAGGTCACAGCCCTTCACTTCCACTGAGATGTCTTCTTTCCACATCATCAGAAGACCCCCAGCCCTATTATCCCCTGCTGCCACCCCTTGTCCATCGAAGTAACCAAATTCTTTTATCTTCTTTTTCCATTCTTCAGTGTATTGTCTTGTTTCCATTAAGAAAACAATGTCGGGATTAGTCTGGCGTAGAAGCGCCTTGACTTTTTCAACTGCCGGGGTATTCCCGAGCCCTCGGCAGTTGTAACTCAATAGGCTCATTGGGCTGGGCGGCTCTGCTCTCTCGCAGAGTCCGCCACATCGCCATCCTTTGCTGTAGTTGTGTTCTGATTGGAAGCTGGCTCTTCCAGAGTCTTGAAAGTAAGCTTTTTGGCTTTTTTTGCCTGTAATTCGTCTGTTTCCTCCATTATACCATCTCCTCCTGCATTCTGAATGTTTCTCTTTTGTGGTGTGATCTGTGCAGGGGTTAACTCTCTTTTTGTGGTCTGCTCTTGTCTTCGCCACACTTTGTTTTTACTGCGTGGATGGGGTTTCATCTCAGTAGATCCCATCACAAACTGCTGTAGGGCGCCTCCCTTTCCTAGCTGTCCCAAAGGTGGGTCTTTTGATGTATGGGCAGCAGCACCCTGGATCTTGTTTTGGTTATTCTTCTCTGTGCAATGTCCTTTGCCAGGTTCTGTCATCTGCCCCTTGTTCTGTTCATCTTTTTCCTTCTGTACTTCCATCTCTGGGGTGGCTTGTTTATCCGCTACTTCTTCTGCAGGGGGTACTTCATGGTCTGAGTTGGATCCTGTACTCTCCCAATCAAATTTCTTCCTCAGAGAAGCCCAGATGGTTTCATCTTCCTTCTTCAGAGAGTGTGACAGCCAGCTTCTAGGTCCTGGCGCTCCAGCTCTCAACTCCATCCCAAAAGGGTCCGGGCTTATTCCTGATGGCTTCGGGCAACGTAGTTTGGGATGCCCAATTCGTCCACAGGAATAGCAGAAGATAGGTAACTTTTCATACCTGACAGGATATTCAACTAGTTGCCCTTTGATATTCAGTTTGATCTTCTTCCTTAGAGGGTTATTGATAGATAAGCTCACCCTCAATCTCATATACGAGTCCCACATCGATCTAGGACTATCATCGAACCAGATTAGAGAACCAAACCTGTTAGCAATCTTCTCTGCCATAGGTTTTGTTCTAAGTTCCGACGGCAAGTCTTTTATCTGAATCCAGATGTCCATCATATGCAATGCTTCTGGCGTAGGTTTTTTTATCAGTAGGCTTGCCATGAACACCATTGCATTGTTCTCATAATGCCAGGGCCCCCCAAAGCATACCCTGTCTCTATCATCTTCCTCCAAGAATTGGAACGCATACAGCATGTCACCCAACTCAGTAATCTGAAAGTTTTTCTTCAGGTTCCAAGCTTTTGCCAAAGCGATCTTAAGTGATTTGATGTTTGGTGGTTTTTCAGCTACAAGACGGCCAATCAGGCCTAATCGGCGGACTGCTTCCATACGAAAGACGTCCACATCCTCATCTTCAACATCAAGTGGCGTGTCATCTTCATCCGCCAAAGTGATGTGGTCCAGTTGTACTTCCAGACTTTCTGCAGTGCTCTGGAGTTCTGGCTCCTTTTCAAGCTCTTCTATTTCCATGGCTCGTTTCTTTCCAAGCCTTGTGTTCGACTCTTTCTTCAAAGCAAAGCGCTCAGGAAGATTTTTGTGAAAACCTAATATGATCTTAGGTGTTTGCTCTGTAAAAGATAACTCACACAGCAAAACCTTAGGTATTTATATCCCTCTTATGTACGCAAGAAACATACGCAATCAGAAACACCTTCTCTAGCTTGTGTTCAGGATGCTTCCTTGACAAGGACAAGCGCAAATCTTTGTCCCACGTTAGTCTTCTCCAATCTATGAGATAGCTACGTAGCTCGACGAGGATTTCCGGAAAACCTAGGGTTTCCGCCGCTCCGAAAAACTCTCGCTAAACGAGAGACTCCCATCTCTTGTTATAAGAAAACAATTAATTAGTTGATGAGATTCCGGTAACAGAAATGTGAATTGGGTTCACCATGTTCCTGTCAGTTTGTCTTCCATGTTAATATGATTAATAATTAATGATTAAAATATATTATCTATTTAAATCATTCGTGGAAAAAGTGTGTAATTCCGGAATCATCTATGAGATTTGGCTCATCTTTGGAATTGGAGGATCTCCATCCCTCAAGGCCCATTGATTGAACCATAATTGCCCTTCCTATACACAAGATCTACAATACAATCCATGTTTGTCCAGTTGCAAATAATTAAATATTAGCAGGAAGGACACGCACATAGGAAACTTCGGTTGTCAATTATCACCAACTAATTCCTCATTTTGTTTCCCTTGGCCAGTTACGTATTACCAGCTTCGAGACCTCTATTGCAGTTTGCAACCAAATACGTCTATTGGAAAATAGTAGAAGCGGAATTATATATGTGTGCAAAAATAAACAAATTCACCGTGGACGGATTAGGTGATAATTGATAAACAATTTATGTTAGTTGTTTTTTTTTTATAAATGTGAGTTATTTGTTTGGATGGACTAATTATAGTTAGTATGAGTTCATGAATACTGAAACTTGATATATACTTAATGAGTGCCAAGAAACCTAGAGGTTATTGTCCTTAATACACCTCGATCAAAACACTATCTTCTTTTCCTCATAAGGAAGACCAGAAATCTCTATGGTATGAGCTTTAAGGAGGCCTGATTAAGGAATGACACAAAACCTTCCCCATCGTGAGGGTATTGTCCGGTTATAGATTGTGTTTCGAATTTCGCATTTAGTTCCTGATGGCTAATCGACATGAATCCAGTATCCAGATAACTTTATCAACCTTTGATAATCTGACAAAATGATTTCCCATAAAACGACTTATGTAAAATACAATTTCTACAACAAAGCGATGGCCTTTTTGTAGGGAATCCATTAAAAGATTTGCGAGTGATATTAATATATATGACCACAATTTTATGGAAGTCTCGAAGGAAATTAGCGTAATGGTAAGAATACGAAGGATAAAGTAAAGTTAAGTCCGTGTTCATGATAATCTAAAATTAGATTTAATGATTTTAATAAATATAGAAAACCCTTACTCTACCACTTCAATGATTTTATTAGACACCAACAAAAGCAAAATAATTGAATCAAATGGAGATAGTAATAATTTTATTAGATATAGAAAACCTTACTCTACCATTTCCATCCACCATCCATGTTCAACATATTGGAGACACGAACGACACCAATAGGTGCCAACTGAATATAATTCTGTGGTTGATCTTGGGCGGTTGGCCTAGCTAGCTAGGATTTGTATATCCAAAGATAAAACGATCGATAGCGCCATAGCGGCCTCAGCCCTCAAGTCTAGCTACTTGGATTTATCCAGAATTATTGGTCACTACTGGCTAGGAAAGAACAAAATATTTTTGGATTCATACGTTCTTTACAGTTGGGGAGGAAACGAAATGGGCAAATGGTTTTAGTAACCATCTAGCCCATACTGCCATGTGAGCTTTCTGTTTTGGTCACCGATCGACTTGAAAAGCTGGGCCTCATGATTCCCATTTGAGTGAGTTGTGTGTCGACCCTACTTATCTCAAACTTAAAACAAACTAGTCAAATAATCAAAACTTCGATCGACAGCAATAGAGTGTTGAAAAAACTCTCACAACGTTTGGTTCGTCGGCCAATATTTTTCTTCTTCTTATTTTGTTACTTGACATGCAAAGACATTGTATAGTTCGTATCTATGATGCTTCCCATTACAACGGGATAGGGGATTTCTGTGGGGAAAAAAAGTGAGTGCTGAAAAAGAAAGGAAAGAAGTAAAAACGATGTGAGCAACCCAAACTTGTGCTACTAGCTTTTGTATGACAACATAGGTGTTTCCATGTGTCGCGATATCAAATGATCTAGCACGCCTTTACATCTATCTTTAAAAAAACGATAACAAGATGAAATTAAGCCCATTCCGTTGTTTCCCCTAATGAGCCCAATTCATCGTTTTGGGCTTTAAACTGTGTTTCTCTGAACAAGGTCTTCGTTTCCAAAGTAGTTCTTGTTCTTTCAATTTTAGGTAAGCTTTCACCATCTATTTTAAATTTTTGCAGAAGAAAGCAGTAGAAAAGACAATTTTCCATCTCATGTTAAGTTTGTTCCTTCAGAAAGAAGCAATGGTGATTGCACGTTGTTGGGGTTCCCTAATTAATGTGCCCTTCATTAATCAAGTCAATTTCTTTGGAAGTTCTGAAAAATCAAGACTTGTGCATTGAGATCGAAAGATTAATTAAAAACAATCATATCATGTCAACATTAACAGTACCTTCACCCCAACCTTCTCCTCGCGAGGATGCCCAAAACCTCCATCGTGCCTTCAAAGGTTCCTTCCTAATCATATACCCATTCCCCCTTAATCTCCATATTAACAATTCCATTCACCTTCTAGCTAGATTAATTGCATTGCACAATATATATTTGTCACCATTTTTCTTTTTTAATCTGCATTGGCTTCATCAATCTTGATTTCTTAGGAAAAATTAAGATCTCATATTTCCCCCACAAATCTTGATTTTATCCCTTTTTCGATTGATCAAATAATTTTGATTGTATGCGTCAATCTAGGGCTAGGCTGCGACACAGGAGCAGTGGTGAACATTCTGGCACACAGAGACGCATCACACCGAGACCACATCCTCCAAGAGTACGAAACCTTGTTCTCCCATGACCTCCGCAAAGTCTTAGCCGATGAACTCCACGGCAATCTCAAGGTATGTACGCACATACATACCATTCCTTCCTTAATTAATTAAAACGCGTAAAATATTGACCGCATGCAAGGGTTTGAGCCAATGCATAAAGTACGTGTTTATTCTTCCACCAGAAAGCAGTCCTGCTATGGATGGAAAACCCAGCGGAGCGCGACGCCATCGCGCTCCGGCAAGCCATCAAGTCGGTCCCGCTTTTCGACGCCCGAGGCGTGACGGAGCTCATCTGCACGCGCACGTGCGCCCAGATCCGGCAGATCAAGCAGGTCTACTCCTCCAAATGGAGCTCCCTGGAAGACGACGTCAAGTCCCACGCGTCCGGCGACCACAAGCGCCTGCTACTCGCCTACATCAACACCACGCGCTACGAGGGCCCCGAGATCGACGCGCTGCTGGTCGAGAGCGACGCGAATTTCATACGCAAGGTGAAGGCCGGGAGCTCGTCGGACGAGGCCGTTTTGATCGAGCTTTTCACCGAGAGGAGTAGGGCCCACCTCGTTGCTCTCCGCTCGGCTTACTTCACCATGTACCAAAAAGATCTCAGGATGGTGCGCTTTACGTATATTTTAATAATTAATAAGTCGCTTTGGCATGAATTTATTTACGTATTATAGATATTTACGTGTGCATGCATGCATGCATGCAGGCGATAAAGGACGTGACGTCGGGGAGTTTCAAGAACGGGCTGTCGGCGATCCTGCAGTGCGCGGAGAATCCGGCGAAGTACTACGCCAAAGTGATGAGGAAGGCGATGAGAGGGCTGGGGACGCACGACACGGCGGTGATAAGGGTGGTGGTGACGAGGGCGGAGATCGATATGCAGGAGATTAAGGTGGAGTACCAGAAGAGGTTCAAGAAGCCGTTGGTGGATGTTATTCACTCCGAGACATCTGGCCATTACAGATCGTTCCTTCTCGCCCTCATTGCTGGATAGCTATGCATAATCCATATAAATATGTAATGCATTCATTGTACATAACTATATGTGATCTCTAGTTGCTAACCCACTGATGTTCTTTTGGCTGTTGTAATAAATAAGATGCAAGTAATGAGTGTACTTAGTTTATTAGAGAATCACTGGTCACGACGTAGAATATAATATAACCGACGTGGGAAGGTTATATAACAATTAATGGTTATCAAATGCTTCACCTAGATGTATTTTTTTTTTTGTCTATAGTGCCCAACTCATTGTATTTCTAAGGCTCAATATCACACACCAGATGTTTGTTCTTTATTCTTGTTAGTAGATTTCACTACATGGGATGTTGTTACTTCTAATAATATTTGTATCAAACATAAGAAAAAGATTTACAAGAGTTCTAAAGAAGGAGAAGCTATACAAAATGATAATTCTTCTACTACAAAATGACCATTCTTCTACTACGTGTTAGCTTAAGAAGATCCCTCAGCTTCCTCAAAATTAAAATAGAAACATTTTATTGGAGGATGTAGCAAGTCATGTATTTAAATTGCCATATATCGAAACTAGTAATAGCCTCTACTGGACTAGCTATCAACATATCATAAAAAGATAAGTTGTGTTAGGATATGTTGGAAAATGTTCAATATAACTTGGAAAAATTATATAACACTAGCAGTATGACAATGCTCGTGGTATCCGAAAAACTCAGTAAGATCTCGAAAGATACATGAAACTATTACAAGGATGCACAAGATGGTAGCAATAATATATATTCCCACCATGAGCAAATTAAATAGTCTTATTCATGTGTTCTTGATTACTTTGGGGGGACTCGTACGTAGGCGTAAGCGATACATTAGATTGTTGCAGTAGAATCTTGCTACATATGCATGAAAGTATCGTAAGGATGCACAGGATGGGAGCAATAATATGCTCTCCCACCGTGAGCAAGATAATCCCATACATGGCACCATTGATGGCGTGACATAATTAAATGCATAGAACAAAAAAAAAAACTTTTATATAATATACTTACCATGATGAAACTTATAGTCATAATTGCATTCGACATATTGAATATTGTTGCCATTAATCCGTAGAAGTAAGCACCCATGGACAAGTTCGGGATCTCATCTGAGTACCACATCCACTTATTAGACATCATAGCCACGACCACTAAGTCTGAGGAGTTCATCATCGCATATCCTGCAAATTTCTTTTTTTTTTTTTAGATTCTCGAACACGACGGAGAGGAAAACAACAAAGAGGCATGTTAAGACCGCACTCAGAAAGATGAGTCCTATATTTCTTCGTTTCACCACATCCTACAGGCAGCGATGGACAGTGTAGACAAACACAACCTTTACAAACACGCCAACCATAGAGATCAAGACAAGTATCACGTTCGTCGTGTAGACATATATATGAGATGTTGAACCTATATTATATTTAGGGGATTGAAAGTTAGATATGAAATAAAAACTTGAACATTTAAATTTGCATATACGGCTAGTATATCTATGCAAATTTTTTAAAAATACAAGGTTATTCAATAAGTTATGCAAGACCAATTAGTTATTAATGGATAAAAAAAATCTTTCAATAATAAAAATACACTACATAAGCTAAAAGAGCACCTCAAATATCTCTTCTTCTATTTGCTGACGATAACATTGTTTTTGCACGATCATCAAAGGAGGAAAGCGAGAAACTTTAAGGAGATTTTAAGAGCATATGAACAAGAGTCCGGGTAGCAGATCATTTGTCCAAGTCTGAAGTGACTTTCAGCAAAAAAGTACAGGGAGACAGGAGACACGAGATTTGCAATATTCTTGGCATCAAGGAGGTTGATAAACATGAGCAGTATCTGGGATTACCAACCATGGTGGGCAGATCAAAGAAAGTTATATTTGCTGAATTTATGGAAATGGTAAGATGTAAACTGAAGGATTGAAAATCGAGAACGCTATCACAAGCACGGAAAGAAAAGTCTTGATTAAAGCAGTGGCACAGACTCAAGTCACCTATTCTATGATAGTGTTCCAAATCCCTGAAGGACTTTCTGGAGCATAACCAACCAAGCCAGAGAGAAAGGCAGACAAGATCTACCGCTGCGACTTCCTGGAAAAAACCATCGCCTGGGATCTGCAAGTTGAACACGAATGCTGGAGTAATTGGCAGGGATGGATACGAAGTTGGGGAAAAAATCCGAAAATACCCTAGTTAAAAAAAAATAATATATATATATAAATTCCCACAATACCACACTTTAATCCCTCCAATACCCAAGTTTGGAGTGGTTCGCTCCAGTGTGAAGCGAACTACGTAGTGGTTCGCTTAACACTAGAGCGAACCACATCCGAAATGGTCGGATCGTGGCCAAAACGGCCGAAAAGGCCCAAAATGAGGGTGGTTCGCTGCCATCCCCAGCGAACCACTCTTAATCAGAACTTCAAACGATCATAACTTTGCACTCGGTTATCCAATCGAAGAAATATTTTTTTTTATTCCGCATAACTTTTAAATATCTACAACTTTTACTAGGAAGAAATTTCAAAAATAAGAGATTTTTTTGGATTTAAGGGGTGTTTAGAATGATCTAATATTTAATTTCTAGATTTCCACATACATTCTGAAAAAACTTCTATAGAAACATTTCTAGATCTTAAATAGCAAAACAAAATAAAAAAACTTTGTGACGATCGGACTACGGATCACTAAGTTACGATCTTTCAAGTTTTGGTGAAATCGAAAAATGATCAGTTTGTGGTATCAAACAACATTAAATGGAAATTTCTTTCTAGTGAAAGTTGTAGATCTTAAAAAGTTATGTGGAATAAATTTTTTTTTCTACAATTGAACAACCAAGTGCAAAGTTATGATGATTCGAAATTTTGATTAGGAGTGGTTCACTGAGGTTGGCAGTGAACCACCCTCATTTTGGGTCTTTTCGACCGTTTCGGCTGCGTTCCCGCCATTTCGGATGTGGTTCACACTAGTGTCAAGCGAACCACTAAGTAGTTCGCTTGACACTAGAGTGAACCACTCCAAACTTGAGTATTTTGGGGGGGGGGGGGGAAATTAAAGTGTGGTATTGTGGGAATTTCTTTTTGTAACTATGGCATTTTCGGATTTTTTCCCAAAGTTGGAGGGATTATCAGGGACTGGAATGAGGAATTTCAATGTGCTTTTGCGGGTAAATTTATGGGAACATGCAAGGCTGTGGAAGCCGAAGCAAGAGCTTTCCTAAGGGGAATTGAAGAGGCGGCGAGCAGAGGCTTCACACCACTGCTAATCAAAAATGACTGCAATGTCTTAATTGAGAAACTGGAGAAGAAGGAAGGCGACATGTTAGAGATTGGCGTAATTTGTGAGTTAATACAACAGAAGGTTGCTTCGATGGAGAGCACGACTTCTTATGAAGGAAATTGCTTCCGCTGGGCTTTTGCTCCGCGTGAGGAAAATTCTATAGCTCATTATTTGGCCCATATTGTTAGAAGTGTTGGGTGTTAATTGTAATTAGCCTTTAATCTTTGTGTTAGAAGTGTTGGTTAATTACATTGTGGTCATCGAGTTAGGGTTATTCGGCCAGTATATATATGTGACATTGGCTGAACTTGTGACCTAAGGATTCTCGGTTAATACAATTGACTCTGAGAGGTTGGCCCTCTCCGTGGATTAGTCTCAACAATACGTTGAGGATACCACGTAAATCGGTGTGTTCTGTGTTGCGATCCTTCTTCTGATCTTATATTTAACATGGTATCAGAGCCTATTCTCGGATCTTGGGCTTAGGGTTCTCTTCGGCAGCTTCTGATTTATTTTTTCTGCAATCGCATTCTGGGTCTGTTCGGTGCTGCTCGTTGGGTTTTCTTGTTCAGGCGCTGCTCACTAGGTCTTCTTATTCGGCGCTGCTCATTGGGTATTCTTGTTGGCGGTTCTCCATGGCAACTTCTGGTCGCGCTGTGCTTCCTAGTTCTTGTTCGGCGCTGCTTCATGGACGTTTAAGTCGGCGCTCGCTTTTTGTTTGCTGGCGCCGGGTTTCTTTTTGAGCGTGCTACTGCATTATTGTTTGGGTCGACTCTTCCTGGAAGTTTGGGTCAGCGCTGTTTTGAGCTTGCTACTGAATTATTGTTTGCTGGCGCGGTTTGCCTCTCTTGGGTCGGCGCAGCTTATTGCTCTTTTCGTGTTTTCTAGGTAGCCCTCTTTGTTCTCCGTTTTATTATGGAGGCCTCCAAGCTTGATTGTGTCTCTGTTCGCTTCAACGGCAGGAACTTTGCCTTGTGGGAACTTCAGTTCCGCTTGTTCGTTCAAGGGCGTCGCCTGTCCTCCATTCTCGATGGCGGGCAACCTGAATCTGCTGCTACTGCTCCTGCCCAGGAGCGTGAAGACTGGGCTGTTCACAATGCGCAAATCATGGTCTGGCTGCTTGGGTCGATGGATCCCTCGATTGCCCTGAGTTTGCGCGGTTTTTCCACAGCGCATGCCATGTGGAAACATCTTTCGAACGTCCATTCTCAAACCAGTCCCTTGCGCAAGTTCGAAGTTGAGCTTGATCTAGCTTGTCTCCACCAAGGTGACCTTGATGTCCGCTCATACTACCAGGCGGCGATCAGTTTATGGACCGAACATTATCTGTTGACGTCGTCGGTGCTCTCTTCCGCGACATCGGCCGAAGTTCTCCAAAAACGTGCTAGCTCCCGGACGATGCAATTCTTGATGAAGCTCCGGAGCGGATTTGAGGGTATTCGTTCGTCCTTGTTGCATCGTAATATCACGAAATTGGAGGATGTCTTAGGTGAGTTAGTTCGCGAAGAAACTGGTCTTCGCAGCCAGGCGAAGCTGGATCTTCACCAGGCGGAGGGCTCGTCTGCGTTTGCTATCTCGGAATCTCACGCTGGTAAGCAGGTCTCGGCTGATTCCTCGACCTTTGCTGTTGGGGAAGATCGCCCCAAATTCCATTGTACTCCCTCTGGTGAAATTGTGTGCTTTTTCTGTAAAGATCATGGCCACATCCAAAATCGTTGTCCCAAGCGCAACGCATGTAATTACTGTAAGGCGTCGGGACATAAAATTGGCGACTGTCCGATTTTGGCTAAGCGTGGCCGTAATTGTCCCTCTGGTTCCACGTCGGCTGGCGCGCCTCGGGGGTCTGGCACTGGGGTTGCCTCGGGCTCCGCCTTTGCTACTACTGTCGCGATGGCTCCAACTCCTGCGCCTCCTGGGGGCTCTGTGAATGCCGACCTTATTCGTCAGCTTGTTCAAGACGCTATTAAGGA